CTCGTTTGACGTTTTCGTTTGACGTTTTCGTTTGACGTTTTCGTTTGACGTTAATCTCCAGGTTAGATGACACTTAGGTTAGGTTAACAGTTGGCATTAGGTTGGTAACAGCTGACAGATGACATCTGTCAAGTTATGGTTGTCGCAACTAACAGGTTAGGTTAGCCCCCACTTCACATCTGTCAGGTCAGCCCTGTTAACGTTAGATTAGAGGACATCTGACAGGTTAGGTTGGCAAAGCTGTTGTTAGGTTAGGTTGGCAACTCAGGATAAAAAATGGCGCGGATAGAAAATAGCGTTAGACATTACGTTAGTCAACTTCGTAGCTATTAATTTAGTTAGGTTAGCAACGCTGTTGACAGATTTCATGTGTTAGATGACAGCTGACATAGGTTAGATCGTTGACAGATGACACATGTGGGTTAGATTTATTTTTGACATCTGTCATTAGGTAAGGTTAGCCAACTTCGTAGCTATGGCCACGCCTGCGTAGGTTAGGTTGGCAACACCGTTGACAGATGCCATAGGTTCGATTGATTTTTAATATCTGTCATTAGGTAAGGTTAGCCAACTTCGTAGCTATGGCCGCGCATGTGCAGTTTGAAAAAGTGTACCCAACATGCCCATTAACTACTTTCGTCAATTTACGTCATGGCGCGAATTGAACCTCTAGCACCGGTCAATATGATAAATACGAACAATTAAGAGCCGGTCAATATATCCGATATTGTCAATGAATGCAGGTCAATATGACCGGTAATATTATTAATTTTTTTATTGTTTTGAATAAACAAAAAAAATGTAGTAGACCGTGTGCTTACCAAATTATACAGTGAAAACAAAAAATACCATATTTGTAATTTTTTCTCGAATAAACTATTAAAAATTAGAATATTTAAGTTTAAAACCAACTGTGCGCTGTGAACTTATGTGACCATCATATATCGAATAAAACTATTAGTGTCGGCCAATATGACCGACACTAACTGTAAGTGCCGGTCAATATGACTGGTATTGTCATTGAATGCCGGTCAATATGACCGACAATATCATTAATTTTTTATTGCTTTGAATAAACGAGAAAAATGAAATAGACGAAATAAACCAAAAATGACTGATTTGTCATTTTTTTTGCAAATAGGCTATTAAAAAATATGAATACCAGATATTAAAATCAATTGTGCGCTGTCAGTTTTATGCGACCGTCATGGCGCGAACTAAACCACTAGTGTCAGCCAATATGACAAGTACTTACATTAAGTGCCGGTCAATATGACCGATATTGTCATTGAATGCCAGTCAATATGACCGTTACTGCCATTGAATGCCGAACAATATGACCAATGCGAACATTAGATGCCGGTCAATATGACCGATATTGTCAATGGATGTCGGTCAATATTAAAAAATATGAATACCTGAGTTTAAAATCAATTGTGTGCAGTCAGTTTATGTAACCGTTACTGAGAGTGGTAAATTTAATACATATTTAATTTATTTGGTCTGTTATTTAAAACTTAAGTAAACATCCGAGCCGCAATCTTTATTTTAAGTAAGCAAAAGTTAATCTTCTACATGACTTAATTTTTCTATAATATCCACCGATATTGTTTTTTTTTATTAATATGTATAATCTCAAATATTTGTGTTTATGTTCTACCCATATCCTTTAATAACAGTCATGAGTGTATTGAACCACGAGTGCCGGCCAATATGACCGATACGATTATTAAGTGCCGGTCACTATGACCAGCACATCCTTTAATATTTTTTTTATGCATCACTTATTATGGATTATTAAAATGTATCTGCTAATTTTAAAATTTTGGTGTACACGCCTTTGGCGACTCCACCAAAATTAATGTAACTTATCTTTCTTTGAAATTATGGTGAAGGAACTAAACTACATTATTGCTGCGTTTGAGAATCCACATCGGATGCATTTTTTACATCTCGAGCGTTTTTTTATCCACATCGGACACATCTGTCCCATTACATTTACGTATACTGAACCACGTGATTAAAGATTTTTTACATCTCGGATGTATCCGATGTGGATTCTCAAACGCAGCAATAGTAGCTTAAATAGTATTTTTCCTTTTGGTCCCGTTTTGATACATTAACACAGCTTATACAATACAGCTCCACAACTCCGTGTCGGCGTCTTTGATCTGGCGGTCGAGAACTAAGCAAGACGGAATGGTGCTATCTCTGTTAGATTAAAGGGAAAAGTCGGGCCCGGATTAAACAATTTTTTTATTATTGAAAAAATTGAAAACCTTGGCGTAATAAGGTTGGTTACATGCCATATTAAGTAAGTTTTGGGAAATTAAATTTTTAATTTGTTTTAAATCTGTCAAATATAATTAGAAACATTATTTAAATATAAATATTACGAAAAATAGCACATCTTTCGGATTAGAGGTAAAATAATTTGTATGTGGCTAGTAAAATCCTCGTTAACAAATGTTTTGAGCTAAAACAGTCACTTCACGACAAATTGTGGCTTGGATCCTTTTTACACCAAGGGCTTCAATTGTTAAAGAATTGTGTCACGCTCGTGTGGATGCAAATCAAGTGGTACCCCGTGTCTCTGGCAAGTGTTACTCTTCGCGCAAAGGGTTTATACCTAGATAAACGAATGCTTCGACTGAGGTCTGGGAACTCTATGGTATTTTGGAATTATAAAGAATTTGTGCTTTTATTTTAACAATATTGGTTATATTTAGATGTATTCTTATTAATTGAAATACAGATTTGTAGAAGTAATATTTTGACAGTTTTTATTAATATAATATATTCAATTTTTATCTGACCATACCGAAGTAGGGAATTTTGAAACTTTATAGTAATGTGAAATTTGAATTACAATATTACACGATATTACATAATTAGTACTTATTTTAGGTAGGTACTAAATTTGTACTTGGAGAAAGTAATATCGATTTTTATAAGATTATATTAGTTCCTATTTCTGATGTAAAACTTAAGTTTTTGTTTAAACTTTAAACCAAGAAAACAAATAAATTATAGTTTGTTCAACAAGGGTGGATATGATAGCAATATCACACAAAGACGAAGTTTGAGCACGACGTCGTATGCGGAGTACTCAATCGTCTGATTGTGATATGAACAATCCACTCGATATGGTCAGTATATTTTTACTACGACCCACTAACGAAAATCTACAAATTTAAAAAATTATTTTAGGTTATTTAGACAAAATAACTAATTTTAAAATAATTTACGAAGTTGACTAATTTATAAAATAAAATTAACATGAAAAATTAATTAGTCCTCGGCCTAGATTCGATCCCGGGCTTTTCGCGTGGAAGACAGATGCTCTGTCCTCATCTTCACCAAAACTTTCAGGACTTTAGTTTTAATACTCGTAATTAAATTAGTATCATGTAGTTTGATTAAAATTTATTTTTTTTTTAAATGTGGACACAATAAAAACAAAAATGCTATTATTTATAGAGTCTACACAAAAATTTTAATGTATATTTAATATCGATAACTAAAATATATATTGACAATTAGTTTAACAGAATTGTCACTTATTTAAAAAAATTTAAATAATAGGAGTTGGGTGACCAAAATATGAACTGTGATTTGTAGATTTAATTTTGTTAAAGTGTTCTCACTACCTAAAATGGATATGAAATATATTCGTAGTTGAACGCAATAACATACTTTTTCGTTTTATAGTATGTGCATAGATTGGCTAATATCCATGCACAGATTACAAAACGAAAAAGTATGCTATTGCCTTCAATTGAACGAATATATTTCATATCCATTCTAGGTAGTGAGAACACTGCAAAAAAAATAAATTCGCCAATCACCGTTCATATTTTGATCAACCGACTGCTATTATTTTTAAAATTTTAAATAAATGACAATTCTGTCAAACTAATTGTCAGTATATTTTTTAGTTATTGAGATTAAACATACAATAAAATAAGTTATTCTTTTGGAAAACGTTAGCATGGATGACTAAAGGGTATTGGGTTAATTAATTCTAAAAGTGTGGTACAAATGTTATTTTTTGTAGCCAATTCTTCAAAATTATTTTGAAATATCTTTTCAATATTGAATATTAGTTCTACAAATTCATCATTTGACAGTTGCAGATTTCCAAATGTATCTGGATTGGCGTTATCATATGCCTTTAAAAAGCAATAAAGAGAAAAATCATCTAATTCAACGTGATCTTTGTTATATTTAAGACAGGTATCGCAGAGGAGTGGATCCGCAAGGCTTTTATTAAAATGTAACCACACACATACCTGATAAAATTTTTCTGTATCAATTCGTCTTTACAATAATTTAGGGTGTTAATAATTTTATCATAAAATAAAATACAAGGTGTTCCATTTAAAAAACATACATTTTAATTTGCCAGGCAAAAACGTGACACCCTGTATATCCAAAGATATTTTTAAAATATGTAGGTATTTTTCAAATCCATATAACTTTTATTTAAAACTTTCTTGCGTGTCTACAATAAAATAATGAACAATAACGCACTAATGGGATACCCTGTATAAATTATATTTTTAACAATGAAAATTTCTTATAATGTGGTACTTATCGGTTTGGGTCCTTGGGAAAACTAAAGAATGTTTTCTTGCAGGTATAACCCTTATTAAAACAGCTTTTGACTGCATAAACAGAATGATGTCTTTTTTTTTCACTCATTCTACTCATAGCTAAAGAGTCACCAAAATAATTACAGTACCTTTAACTCAAACAAAATCAACGAAATTATAGGCTCCACGAAATTATACAATCAACGAAATTATACGCACGACTCAACACCTTACCTAAGTACGCTTCTGAACACCAAAACCGTCTTTTCCCTTCGAAGGCGGAGCTTAAGCGATGCGCGACGAATTCGACGCAAACCGTTGCCGCCAAGAGAGTGTTTTAGCTGTATTGTATAAGCTGTGACATTAATTCAATACATAAAGATTTTTGAATAAAAATTGACTTACCTCGAAAGCCAAAGTTAATGCAGCCTTTTCTTGACGAAGCTGTTCTGCCTGCTTTTTATACGCCAACATAGAACGGATAGTTTCTTCCATTCTGTAACAGAAAAAATATAAATTGTTATAAAAAAATAGTATTTAGAAAAGTTATAGAATATGACATGTTGTGGTAAAAACATCAAATGATTGGAATTAGTGAAAAATCTCTTGATTCCACAGAAAATATGTAGAATACCTAAAAATTCCAGTAACAAGGTATTTTTATAAGGAATTAATTTTTATAGGGCATGACTAAAACGTTTGTACAAAAAACATGAGGATTTAGTCCAATATACCTTGATCCAAAAGTTGATAGCTTCCAAAATATTATCAATGTTATTATTTTTTTATACTTTTTTCTAAATATTTGTCTTAATAATAATAGCAAGATATACAAGAAATTTGATGTTCAGGGTTTTTTAGAATGAGAAAGCAAAATCTGATCACAGAGGGCGCCATCAGCAGCGCTTCGCCTACATCTAAAGCTTAATTTTTTTCTTCGATATCTTTTTTCCTAAAATGATATACCAAGTATACCAAGAATTAATTTAATTATTTCTGTTTCAATAGTTGGTTTCATAATATTTGCATATTTATTAATACGTCTCTTTGAAGGAAAAAATTGAGGTTTTTAAATATTTTGAGCAAGATCGGGTCGAATGTTTATAAAAAATGTGTTTAATATCCTGACAAATTATATAATTTGTTATTAAGATTTAGTACCATTTAATAACGTTATTTTTTTAATAATTTTAGAAAGTTTGGGATTCGAATTTGTTATATTATTATTATTATTATTATTATTCATAGTTTTCCACAGATTTTTTTAATTATTTTTAATATTTTCTATTTATTTTATGACATTTTATAATTTTATTAAATTAATCAGATGATGAACTTTGTTACGATATATAATATATTTTTGTTTTTAATTTTAATCTGTCTCTTTTGTCTATAAATTTCAATATACCAGTAGTTATTCACTACTTTCTCTTAATCGTTTCTAGTTAGTTTGTCTAACTTTACATGTATGTTTACATATAAACCTTCTCGTATATTACTAATTATCCAACAGAATGATACTTTAAATAGGTATAATAATATAACTCTATACCCATAACCTACATTTTTCTGAATGTGTCAAACTGTCAAACATTTTAATCTAACTGACTACTATAAACAGGTCAGATGTAGAATTTTGCAATCAACACTGGTAAATACTTTTTTTAATAACACAATTTTCCTTCAGAACGATCTAAAATGTTTCAATAAATTTCAATTAACGTAATAAATACAGACCCGAACGCTCAAAAAAAATATAAAACGCATAATTGACGAATATTCAAACCAACCGGGATATAAAAAATTTCAATAAAAAAATTCCTTCCAGTCAGGTGGAGACGCTTTTCTTCAATTCCGCAGAATTTTTTTAATTTAATAAGAAAGGAAAAACTAATTTCCCCGGTTAAACATCGGACTGCATTAGCCCGTCATTAATGAAACAACCCCACCGAAAATTCCCGAGGACTCGGAAAGATTTACAGTCGGCAAACAAAAGAAAGTACGGCCCAAAATGGCGGCCTAAATTAATTTTTCGGACAAAAGTCCCCTATCTCCCTTTTTGCGTAACATTCTGCCGAAAAATGTCGCGACAGAAGAGATAAATTTTTCGCGTAAACCGAGGTCAAATTTTGATGTAATTAAAACCGGGAGTTGGTATTATGGTGGTGTTCTTTTGTCCCATTTCCGTGGGAGTTTATTTATGGCTTATTTTTGAAGGTTTACAAGTGGTGACGTGGGTTTAAAAGCTATAGACAATGAACATTTATCAAATAATAAGAGTTTAAACTTTACCATTTGTTAAGACTAATAATTCTATTTTTATTACATTTAATTTAATCTTTTAATTTTAGCCTGTAACAATATTCTTTTTTTTTTAATAACATATGTTAAAATAGCTACGTTAATTTTGTGTATAAATATGGGTGATTCATAACTATTGGGACATAGGGCGGGTTATTTGTACAAAAATATGATGACAGGGCCAAATATACCTCAATAAAATATTGCTGTGGAATAAGATACAGGGCGTTAAAGTTGAATTTTTTTTTTCGTTTTTTTTTTATAATGTCACTGTATATTAATGAATTGTTATCAAAATCGGCACAGAGGCATATCTTTGGACAGGGGATAATATTTTATGTATAATTTCTCATTTTGTTACGGGGGGCGCCACTTGAATGATTACTAATGATGAAATTAAGTGGTAGCTTTTTTTGACAAAACTCTTTAGTATTTTTGATTGGAAAATATGATGTAAACGTCATTTCTACGTAATATTGGTACTCTTGTTTAAACACGATAATTTTACCCGTTTTCGAGAAAAACGCAATTGAGCAGCTCACAAGTCTCAAATGGGGAGTTAAAAAAATATTTCACATATGAAAAGTGTGCTTTGGAGTGTCAGATAATTTTGTTTGGTACATGTAATTTCTTGACAGTGAATTATTTTTGCTGTTTGATTATAGTCTATTATTATTACTATTATTATTATTTATCACCCTGTATCTTATTCCACAACAATATTTTATTAAGGTATATTTGGCCCTATCGCCATATTTTGCTCCAAATAATCTGACCTTAGATTATGTCCCAATAGTTATGAATCACCCTGTATACATTCAATCATTAAAATATATTCGTCCATGCAGTCTTTTTGACTTCTTATAGATGAGTTCTCACACGTTTATTCAAAGATATAAATTTAACGTTTTTTAAATACAGTGTGGTCCAATGAAAAGTACCCACCCCCTTTTATTGGTTACCTCAGATTTAAAGAAGAAATGCTCGGATACGTCGATTTTTGTTTGGAAGGGGTCACATTTTTTTCCTCATTACATCATTGACACTTCAACCCTCGAGTAGTGGGGTGAACAACCCCTAGAATTTAGATAGGGAAAGTACTAAGGGTAGCACATTTTTGAAAAGGTAATTTTATAATAAATTTAGTAATACCAATATTGTTGAGTCAAATTTATTTTAGCGCCCTCTTGAGGGCGAAAATTAGGCAACTAGCCTTTCCTGTTTTTCTGAAATGTAATGCACAAATGCTTGGACACGTCGATTTTTGTTTATAAAGGGACATATTTGAAGCATATTGTTTAACCCGCATCTTTAACCCCTTGGTGGGGACAATCACACCCTTAAAATTTTAAAGTGGGGAGAACAGCTAAATATTTTAAAGGGCAAACAATGTATTTTCTTATGATACCCTATTTATTGAATTTTTCTTGGACAGTTAATCCGAAAACGGCTTTAGGAACCTCAACCCTGCAGTTTTGGTATTATACATATAGAAAAATTCACTTAAATTTTGGTTATTAAGAGTCAAAACAACTACAATAAGTAGGTACTAAATTATATATTTTAATAAAAACTTACGACTGATATTCCAATAAAAACTAGATCTACTATATCAAAACGAAATTTCTGATTTATCGCCTGCGTTTTTTGTTAAAATAAAAACAAGTAATGAAGAAATAAAATAAGAAAACAATTTAGGCAAACGTTCATTGTGGTTTCTTTACAATTTGGTAGCTTTTAAAATTATTTTAATTTTATTATATTATATATATTATAAAAAAAATAGTTTATTCCATTCCAAAACGAATTGAAATTGTGAAACTTAAATTCAGATGCAGCGAGTCGTCAGAAATGAAGCTGTGAAAGCCGCTGTTTTGGGATATGTCACTGTTCCAGAATAACAATGACTGCATAATTAGGGTAATTGTAGTTAAGTACTTGACTGTTCTCAAAAATACGTAACAAATATGGGAGAACAACGTAACGGTATAGTTGCTTTAAAACCCTCTAAAGTTGCGTCGTTGTCGAAATATCAGCTGTTTGTGAAATAATTTCAGAAGCCAGTGTTTATATTGAATTTGGATAAAAAAATACCATCTTTAGCAGTTTTTATAGACTTTTTGATACTGTGGATCATAAAATATTATTAGAAAAACTCGAAGATTTGGGTGTAAAAGGCACAACACATAAGTATTTCGAAAGTTATTTAATAAATTGGCGACAGTGTACTTTCTTCTGTTTTGTCCGTGTCTTCTATTGTTTTTTCACTATTCACTATTTAACTAACTGATGTTCTTCTTTCCATTTACATAGAGATTACGATTTTTGATATAGGCGTCTAAATTCTGCACTCTAGCTTCTTTTAAGTGTGTTCTTAGGAGATAACTCCTCACTTATATAGACAGACGTTGATTTATTTTTTTTTACAATTTCTAACGACTTCTTGTTTTTTGAAAAAGGAGATAAATTTAACGATGTTTTTTCCTATATACTTAACTGTAGTTGCAATAAGTTATTTAGTGAGTTTATAGTAAATTATACAGGGTGTCTGTAAAAGGTCTTTACAAAAACATACCACATATTCCTTAGACCAAAATAAGTCGATTTAAGTAAAATTACCTTAGTACAAAGTTGCTTAGTTTGGGCTCCAGAGGGCCTTGAAGTTACAATTTTTAAATCGTTTTTCCCATAAAAATTTAAAACGGCATATGCGATTTTGCTGAAATTTGGTATATTGGTAGAGTTTTATGTGGCAAAAAAATGGTATTAAAATTTTGTCCGATAATAATACAAAGAACTTGATTTTTAAATAATTGCACCTTCAAAAATTCTACGCCAATGGAAGAAAAGGAGTTTGAGTATGAAATTTAGATTGCGCAAGTCATTTACTTTAAAAAAGGTACTCTTGATAAGACTCGATTACTCTCATGGTTTTGACGAAATTTGCATTTTAGTAATTTTAGAACATAAACAATAATTATTAAAATACAAACTTTGTCAAAACCATGAGAGTAAATCGAGTGTTATCAAGGGTACTTTTTTGTAGTAAATGAGTACCCAATCCAAATTTCATACTCAAACCCCTTTTTTGCCATTGGCGTAGAATTTTTAAAGGTGCAATTATTTAAAAAATCAAGTTCTACGCCTATGTATTATTATCGGACAAAATTTTATACGATGAAAAACATAAAAATG